TGGTGCATCAACGAATTCTCCTTTAAATCCTCAAATGTCACCTACCATTTTAGGAGGAGGAGGAAATAATAATGATTATTCAGAAGTCAATTTTAAATATCCAATTGTTTCAAGTAAAAATTTACTAATTATTATTGATTTGCCTTGACTTTTTTTTCAAAGTGATAGTTTTTCAATAGATGCTCATATTATTGGATAATCATCATTTATATAAAATAAATATTTATCAAGTATAACAAATATATGTAATTGCTGATTATTAGGAATTTCTGGATTAATTTGTATCATATCATCTCTGACAAATATTGGTATAAATTATTTAAGTTCTTTTAATTCTTTTAAAAATTTTACATGATATTCCAGTACATCTTTTCTTTGTATTTATCAAAATATATTTCTTTTTTTCTAGGTTGCAGAATTAAACCAATTTTTTTAAGCCAAACTTGAGATGTTTTTACTGTAATTTTTTTTTACAATTCCCATATTATAAAAAAGTATTAAATTTACATAATTTTGATAATCTTTTAGTGTGATTTTTTCATTATTTTACCAAATAAAAATAAGACTTTATTAATGATATCTTTATCATCAATAAACGATTTTGTTTTTTAATAATAACCTTACATATTTTTATATAAAGTTCCATTTTCAAACTAAAACTTAGCCCATTTTCAAATAATTCTTGCTTAATAAGAACTTTTATCATAAACTTTTTCTGCAGCATACTTACTTGCTTGTATTTTATTTAACTTATATTTTTCCAAATAAATAAAATATTTATGTCTAATACTGTAAATAATCATGAACAGTCTGTTTTTTTTATTACTTAGAATATATTTAAGTTTTTTAAGCTCCTTAAAATTATTTTTCACATTATAATCATTATTATCATCTTCATTAAAATAAAAATCATCATCTGTATCCAAATTATTGATCATATCATTAACATTTACATTATCATCAGTATTTTCATCTAAACTAATAGCATTTATATTAGAATTTGTATCTGAAGTTTTCATTTTATCTTTATTTTCACTATCTATACTTTCTTTATTTTTTGTAATCAGAAAGTATTGTGTAATTGATTTAGTATCTTTTGCAGCTTTTATGTATGTATCTAAAAGGCTATATTTATGAAATTTTGTAGCTTTTGATATTATAAGTCTATTTCTAATTTTTATTTTTATTTTTTTAGCTAAACCAACTCAAGTTTTCTAAGATTAATTATAGTTTGTTGTAAATTATCTTCAAAATTATTATCTGAATCACTTGAATAGCTTTTATTTTCAGAGAAAAAATATCTGAATATTCAGAATTATCAAAATCTGATTCAGAAGCATTTAAAGCTTTTTTAAGTCATCTAGTATTAATGTTTTAAATACGTTTTTGCAATCTTTTTTGTGCTGATTTAACTTTTTTATTAAAGGTATGTATAATAAAAAAAGATGCAAATTGATATAACTATCAAAGATTTATCTATTAATATAGAAATTATTATATTATACAAATTTTTATAGTCTTAATTTATCAATTTTATAGTAAAATTAGTATTACTTTAAACTAATAAAACTTATTAAATAATAACTTGTATAAAAAATTAGCTGATAATTAGATAGTTTTAGTATTGTTTATTATTTCTATTAGATAATATTTTTATTTTAATTTAATTTTTTTTTTTACAAAATTTTGTTACGCTTATTAAATTGTTGATTATAAAGGTTTCGCACTGTATTATTTTTTAATAAAATAAATTTAGATTTAACATTAACTTAAAAAATTTTTTTGGTAGTTTTTTTCTTTTCTAAGCATCTATATTATTATTTAATCAAAAATTTAGTTAATTTATTAATATTTTTTAATATTTGTTTTTTAATATTATTTTTAATGATTTGTCATATATTTTCAATAAATTTAAATCTGAATTATTATATAATCATATTAAAAATTGGATATATAATAAACAATCAAAAATCTGTTTAATTAACTTATATTTAAACAAAATCAATATTATTAAGAATTAGTCAAAGTTCAATTCATCTTATTTATAATCAATTGATATATATTAAATTAATTTTAATAGCTTTAATAAGCAAAAATAATAATTTATATTATTTTATACTATTTTATTTTACTAATTACTTTTATTTAAATTATAATATCTTATTGAATTAATATTATATAAAGAAAACTAATAATATAAATTATTTATTTAATAAAATTAGTATTATAACATTTATAATTTACTTTCTTATTGTATTTTATAATAAAATATTAAATGATTATGTTTTTTTAAAAAATCTATATATATTCTTTTATTTTGCACAATAACATAAATAATACTAATACTAGTGATGTGTTTTTAAGCATTTTAAGAATGTATAGTAGTCTAATAAAGTATCTGTAATTTATATTAAAATACATAAAAAATAAAAAATTTTAAAATTAATATTAAATAATAATTTTAATTAATATAATTTTATCATTAAATCATATTCATATAATTTAATAATGAATTATAATTCTTTTAAAATATAAAATTCATTCATAATAAAACAAAATAAAAAAATTTATTATAAATACATATAATTATTATCTTATAATTAGAAATTTTTTATATTTCATCTTAATTTAAATTTTGTTATTATTTCATAAAGTATGATCGATTGTAATTGTCCGGGGCGAATTTTGTGTTGGCCCTGTAATTTCCTTTCTCCCTACCTACCTTCCTTCCTTCCACCTACGTCATCATATCAATTTCCTTTTTCGACTCATTACCCCTGCTATTTTTTTGTACCACTGATCGATAAAAAAATAATTTTATAATTTAATAGCGACGGACTTTAACGGTTTCCGTTTTCCTAGTATTACTATATAGTATGATCTTGAATAACTTGATACGTTTAAAACTTTTCATTTTTTTTATATATTTTAATATAAAATTGAATTAGATCGCGAATACTTTTCTTGCGCTACCGTACATTATGTCCAAAACTGTCCCATATTAAGTCAGATGTCCAAACAATGTCCCTGCGAATACTATAAATGATGTCATTATTTATCTATTGTAATTGACTATTTTTATATTATTGAACGGGAAGATCCGTTCCATTAATCATAATGTTATTTAATCGGTAATGATTTTCTATTAGCTTAATATGATTTAAAAATTTCAGAAATGGAAAGTTAAAGCTATTTAATCTGCAACTTACCAATTCTTTCAATTTAATGGATATAATTTGCATTTTTTAGTTGAAATTTGATAGGTGTAAGAAATGTATAACATTTCGCTTTGCTATCCAATCAAATTAACGTTATGATAAATTAAATTTTAAATCTAAATTATGCAAAGTTTTAATCTAAGAAACATATTAGGATCGATCTATTGCTTGGTAATAAAAACAATGTACCTGTGAAACATGATACAAATTACTATAAATCAAAATATGATAAAATTAAATTTTACATGGATAACGGTGTAACGTACAAAAGCGTAAGGTACAATAACGTTTTGGCGTCACTTTACATCTTTGTCACGTGGTACCAACACCCACGGGTCGACTTTATTTAGCAAACTTTAGTTATCCGAAAAAATTTCTAAAATGGATATGGGGGAATAAATGGGGGAATAAAGTGAACGGTTGTTTCACCCTGAAGATCCGTTAATGTGGCGGGAGTTTGACACAAAGTGCCTTTATGACATCAAATATCAATTATTACAAATTTATATCTTCAAGAGGTCGTATTTTCCAAGTATTTTCCAAGTATTTCCGCTCATAACGGCCAAATAAGGTTATCAAACACATGATATTAAAAATTAATATTAATTAATGATAAAATGCAAATGTGATTTGCGATCTACGATAATATTAATATACAAGAATATATTTATATAATAAATTCGGTGAATTCGGTGACAAGCAATTCCGATAATTTTTCGAAATTTCCGACAAAAAGGGTTTTGAGATAAACGTGTCTAAACAGGTATTCTGATATTGTCGCACTATCAACAGTTTTGGTTAGTATCGAGCATTAAAAATAATAAAAATAATAAAATATACAAATGTGTATCTTTTGTGTGTATAATTTCATTAATTTCATTTTCGTGTTTTTTTTTACCCCTAAAAAAAAGCATCTTTATTTAAAGAATTTATTGTTATTATTTTTTTTTTTTTTTCAATTTAAAGAATAAAAGAGGGAAAAACACTTTATTTAAAGTGTTTTTTTCACTTTTGTTTGTTTTTATTTTCTTATACTAATAATAAACTTCACTTAAAAATTTTTATTTTTATGTGTGTATCACCTAATTCAAGATCTCTAACTACTACTCTTGTTTCATATGGTTTTTTAATTCCGAAGTTCCGAAAAAGAAAAAAAAAACATTAAAATAATAAATATTTATTTATTTATTTATTTACCTGTTTTCTGTATATAATCTTTCATTTTTCATTTTCAAACTTTTCATTAAAAAGCACGAGCTTATTTTAATCTCATTATTCCAACCTTCTCACCCTCCACAATTATTCACTGTAAATTAAATCATTATATAATGTTTATTAGACCAAGTTTAGTTGGTGGTAGCTTGGGGCGTTCAAATTGGAAAACAATAAAAGATTCCAGTTATTTTATTTTGCAACAAAGAGGTGGTAATAATAACACTTCTGCTCAACAAAATAATAATCATAATAATAATAAAAGGCAGCAACATTTTACTAAATATAGAATTATAACTAAAGGTTTTCCACACTATAGAGGTAAGCAAAAAAGGTGGAGAGAAAATAAGAAAAAAAAAAAAAAAAAAAAAAAAAAAAAGTTTAAACAGGTTTTTATACCATTGGTAGCTTGTCAGTGGCTTAGCAGCTATTTATATTTGTATTTTCAATCTCAGTTTCAGATCACGATGATTTAAGTCAAATTAAAGAAGCTTTTAAAATGTTACATCAGGACGTATTGCCAGAGGTAGAAGGTAAAAAGACTTCAAAGAAAATATTAAAACAACTAAAGTCTCGGTGCGAAAAGAATGAAAATGTAAGGCAAATTTTTTTAAAGAGTTTTAATTTTCTATGAATGTACAACTTATTTCCTTTCATTTTTTCTCACATTTAGTTGACTTTAACTTTTGATGAGGACGTGGATGGATATGCTACAGATACATCAATTACACCAGAAGAAGAAAATTCTTCAAACGAAATGGACGATCAAGATAATGATAATAATGAGAATTATCCATTAATATCACCAGATATTAATATAAGCAGTAATTCATCCTCTTTTTCAACAAATTCTGAACATATTGCTATATTGTCATCAATGACAACCACCACAAACATTTCTAATAATAAAGGAAAATCAAAAATGGTTACAATGGGGGAAGATCATGATATGACTAATGAACAATTAGATTTCACTGCAAATAATTCTGATGATTCAGAAGATATACAAACATCCGATGGATCAGATAATGAAGGTGGTGCTGGTGAGAATAATGGTCCTGCAGTGAATGAATGGATTTCTTTGGGTGCTTCTGTGTTGGATTCATTGATGGGATGGTTAGAAGGTCCACCTTTGGAGGGAATGAATGTAGCTGCGGTGGTTTCTTCATCTTCTTCAAAACAAGTTAATACCAATGCTGTTTCTAATAATAAAAATCAGACCATATTGGATATTCCAATGCAATTCATTGATTTATTAACTTACCCGGAAATTGATCCAAAGGCTTCTAAAAAAGCTTCCTTTGCAGGTATTTTAAATTAAACATTTTTTGTTGTGGTGATGCTGGTGGCGGGAGTTTTTTTTTTTAAAAAAAAAGAAAAAAGGTATTCAAAGATATTCACTTCTTTCTTAGTGCTGCGGGAAATATCATTCGTGAGACAGAGACGAAAAGTGTTGTGTTTAGTCACGTTATTTATGTTTTTTATACGGTATTGTTCGTTTGATTTATTCTTGGTGTTATTATTTACCGGCAATTGCGCAATGTTATTCTTGATGAAAAATTCAGGAAAAGTTAATGTCACTATGGCAAAAAGAGCGGTTAGACAGAGAATCGGATGGGCAAAACAATGGGCCGGTTCTTTATTCAAAAATCGAGCTAATAACGCCGCACATAACAATGGTAATATTAAGAAATGCAATAACAACGTTAATAATAATAATGTAATAACCAACGCTAATTCTAACGTTAATACAAACTCTCCTGTCAATGTTCATACAGTTAATGCAACGGGAATTAAAGTTACACCAGCAACACCACCTCAAACACCACCACATTCTTCACCACAAACTACGACACAAACTACAATTATGTCAAAGTCAGCGTCACAGGATGCAATGCAAAGTGGGAGTATGAGTGATACAACTCATGGTGGAAATGTACCAATTAAAATGATTACACCTAAACGTGGTGTGTTTTTTCGTAATAAAATCGGCCAAACGGGTGCGGTGCCGCAAACGACTAAGGAAGATAAAGTTATCTCACAAACAACAGAAAATACTTCATTAACTGGATCACCTCCATGCCAACAATCATCATCACAAGATGTTTTACTTGGTGCATCAACGAATTCTCCTTTAAATCCTCAAATGTCACCTACCATTTTAGGAGGAGGAGGAAATAATAATGATTCGTCACAAACGTCAAATGCACCTGCCGCACATCAAACATCACAAAGTCCTACAACGAAAAGGAGATTCTTTATTAATAAACGTAGTGGTAACAATAATAGCAACAACAACAACAGAAACAACAGCAACAACAACAACACTACTAATATTAATTCTAATAATAATAATCTTACGTTGCCATGTATAATTCCTTCTTCTCCTTTACAAAATGGATTAATAACTACATTACCGGAAATTTCTCAAGAAATATCACATTTGGCTATGACAAATGTTTCAACTGCTACGGTTGGTACTGTTGGAAATTCAATAGCTACAAGTGGATATGGGTCAAATCATTCTGCAAAATCTTCTCTAAGTTTGAACCAACAACAGCAAAACAATAGTTCATTTACTCATGATAGTGATTTATTAGTCAATGATACTTATCATGAAGGTGAGATACAAATTTTTACCTGATTATTTAATAATGATGTAAGAGTTTTGTGTATTTAAATATTTATTTTTTATAGATTATTGGTTAGTTTAAATAATAATGGTGATTTGTTTTTATTTCTCTTAATTCCTTTAACTTAATCTGATTTATTAACAAAAAAATTAGTGAATTCAAACCAGCCTCATGCAAAAACATCAGCATCTTGCAGCAATAATCCAAACAATACTCATAATTCGAATAATCATATTGAACCTCTCGATTAAAAATAATATATATGTATTTTTTGTTTTTCTTTTCTTTTTGGTGGGGTGTTGGAAATTAATTTTCTTTTTTTTTGTAAAATATTTTTTTATTATTGTAAATTTATCTGGTTTTTTTGGTGAAAAGAGAAATAGGAATGTAATATTGTTTTTTTTTTTTTTTTTGGAGCGGATAAGATTAATTTTTATGAAATGATTGTATTAATATTTGAATAAACTAATGTTTTATCGCGTAATAATAAATGTATGTTATTTTAATAATTATTTTATTAACATTTTAACATTTCATAAGTTTTTTTTTCCTTATTACGCGTTTATAAAAAGAGTTATAAAAATGCGCTAAAAAAATTTGAAAAGCTGGCTGAACCTGAACGTGTTAGATGTTTTATCAACAATACTTGAATGTGAACCAACTTCCTGACTTAAATATTAACAGATTATCGGTTAGGTATAAAAACAACATAATAAATATACGTAGTGTTGACACAATAGATTTTTGAAAAAGCGAAAATATTATGAAGGATTAACTTATTTGTAAAATATTATTGATTTAATACCATTTGCCTGCTTCAATAATTTAAGAAACAATTTTACTTCCGCTATATAAATATTTTTTGTTCCTGTATTCGCTAATATTTCAATTCTGAATGATAAATATTGCACCATGATATCTACTACCTCACGGCTTGTTGACAAATACTCGGCGACATTTTTATTTTTGAGAATTGTATTCGGAATTATATATGAAACTGATAATCTGCATTTGGAAACAAACAATATATTTATCTACGATTTGATTGGATTTATTCACGATTTTCCAATTAAAACTTTGCAAATTTATTTGTAACTCTTATTTAAAAAAGAATAAATATCCCACCCACCTATCATATTCGTTTTCTTCAAATTATTTGAAATAATTGTTTCAAATATGTAGAAATAACGAGAAAAATTTATGGTACAATAATTTACGCATTTTCATTGAGGCATCTCGTCTCGTTTTAAATTACGTGATAAAGGCATCGTGTTCGATTACCTTAATTATATTCTTTTTGCGAGAATTTTGTTATCAATGTATCTATCATTGATTGAATTTTTTTTTTTAATTTTTTTGATAAAGAAAATATCTGAATTAGCGGCCGCATTGGCGGGTCCGGGTTGAATTTTGGGCAAAACTTATAGACCCGGATCCGAGTTTGGGCCGGCGCCAATCTGAATGATAACGAACCAAATATATATATATATTAGATCAATAAGCCCATGTTATCAGGTCCATTTCCCATTGTACGGAAATATTCTTGCTTTGGGAAAAACATATAAAGTGAAATGGATTGCGCGGTTTTTGCTTTTTTTGTATGAAATTCATCGAGTATTTTTTTTGTTTGAATTACATTACCTTCTTTTAAGCTGTATTTTTTTTTTTGATTTAGTTTTTATAACGTTACCTTTGATATAAGTCTATCAAGATAGTAATGAAATGGTTAAAATTGTTTAATTAAAAAAAAGTAACAATGGATCCAACTGGTAATCCTTTAATTACTAATTTTGAGTTTGAAGAAATAAAAGACGTCATTTGTCGTCAAGGTTTTTTGATTGGCCAGTTACGCGTCATCCCGTCAAATGAGATGATGGTCTTCAATTCGTCATTTTTAAGGAGTGACACTTTCAATTTATTACCATAACAAAAACTCTTTTTATATTCTTATTACCAAAAAGGTTCTTTATTTTTACTAATTGAGCTAGAACCAGCACTTTATATACCAAAAATGACCGTAAAGAGCAAGTCGATCTAACAAACATTTGGGTGCAGAATATATATATTTTAAATACGCGACGCGCTTTTTAGAAATGAATGTACTGTACCCGTGTAACAACGTTATTATCAACTTAGTAATTCGTCGATCAACCAACATTATTTATTACACCATATATATAAATACTTTAACTTCTTTCACACCTTTTTGTTTTTGAATTTTTAACTAAATGGATTCATAAAAAAAAAAAAAAAAAAAATTAAATAATGACTACCTCAATCATATTAGTAAAAGCTTTATATGATTTTGATTCAAATGAGTCTACAAATTTATCTTTCAAAAGAAACGATATCATACGAGTGCTTACCCAGCTAGAATCTGGCTGGTGGGATGGACTATGTAATGGTGAACGTGGCTGGTTTCCGAGTAACTATGTGACTGCTTATGAAGGGAATGATATATCGGATGAGGAAGAAAAGGTATATATATATTAAAAGGAACTGCATTTTTTTTTCCAATTAATAATAAGGACTGATAAAATCTTTTTTTTTTTTTTTAGTTAATGGATTGGATTACTCAACAAACTCCCGATGGTGATATTTTTTATTATAATACAAAGACAGGTGAATCATCTTGGGAATTACCAATCGATGATAATGAATCTTATTCAACAACAATTACAACGATTGGTAATAGTGATTCAAAACCATTACCAAACAATTGGGTACAACAGCTAACAGTAGATGGAAGTTGTTACTATTATAATGTCATAACTAAGGAGATTAAAATGACTCATCCTGGAAATGGTACTATGAATGCTACTTCTAGTAATTCCGAAACTAGTGAGTACAAGGATGATGATGAAATTGAATTACAAGAAAATGATTTAGAAACTGTCAAAACTGAGGATAAAGCGAATGGTATTAATTCCAAAGAAGGGCAACTAATTAATGACACTATTCAGCAAATCTCTCAGCAAAGAAGATCAATTGAAAATGTAAGCTATAAATTTTTTTGGTTTTTTTGGTTTTTTTTTTATAAAAAAAAAATTCTATATATATTTAAATCTAATGTATAAATTATTTTTATTTAGCTTTCACTCATTTGGACTCAAAAAATTACAGCCGAAGGTAGGGTGTATTATTATAATAAATTAACGGGTGAGACAACCTGGAATTTTGATGATATCAATGCTGATGGTCAATTAGTAAGTAACCAATTCTTTTAGTAAATATTAACTATAGATAAAAAAAAAAACAACTTAATAAGATTTATTTTTTTATTTAGATGAAAGTTGGAGATGAAATTTTATTTAACGGAGGTGAATTAGGCGATGAAGATCTGCATGAAACATTATCCCAAACTCCTACATTAGCTATGTACTCTCAACCAAGAAATTTTTCGGAATATTCAATGTCCCAAAATGCTAATGAACAAGTTACTTGGGATTCTTTGTTACAGAGTATTATCGTAGCTATTGACAATCTTAACTTAGCCGTTTTAGAGAATTTGAAACAAAATTACACGAGTCATACCAATGCTATCGTTGAAAGTGTAAGGATTATGCTTTATGCATCTGGAACTATTGAAAAAGATTCACCTGCAATTATGCAAAATAAGAATTTAAAGGTTTATCATAGACATATAATGGCTTCACTTTCAAAATTAGTTCTTACAACAAAAGCAGCTTCAGATGTATGGCCTCCACCAGATTCCGCTCAAAAATTGAAAAACGATGCTTATGAAGTTTTAGTTGCGGTTCGACAATTTGTTCAAGCTTCTGAACCTATTGTAGATATTAGAAGAGTTGATCCAAAAATATTGGAAAGCACTTCAGGTGGTTCATGGCGTAGTAATAGTAACCTAATACAAATACAAACAAATGGGATTAATGAAACTAAAAGTCAAATACCAAATCCACCTTCAAATTCATCAAGTGTAAGTTCACAAGACAACAATAGCATTCCAAACTCTCCTACACATTTGTCTAGTCAATCACGTTCTTTATCGACTGATCTTATTGCTTCATTGGATCAAACTTCTCGCACTATAACCCAAACTATTGTATCACTTCTTAATCATGTTAATAAAATAATTGATACTCCTCAATCCAGTTCAAATATCTCTTTTGCGTCCCAACTAATTTCACAAACTAAACAAGTCGTCACTCAAGTTGGACAAATTTTATCTCATATCGAAGATATAGATTTGGATGATTTGAATGAATCTTGTTTAGATACAATTCACGAATTTAAAATATCCAAACAATCGACATATAACAGCATAGCTGGATTAGTTATTTGTATTCAATCAGCAACTGACCCGTTAGCTCCACTTAATGTTATGGACCAAGTTTTAATGGCTACAAATAAGGTAGATAAAGCCGTAGCGGATGTTATTATTGCTACAAAATTTCTTGTTGAAGAAATGGAAGCTCAAGAACAAATTAACATTCAAGCTATGCGTCCAAGACGACCTAGCACTGTCGAAGTTCCACCAACAAAGAGACGTATTACCTCAAATTCTAATTCTCTTGATCACATTGTTGAAAATGACTTGACAACAACAGATCAATCTATGACTCCTAATGCAGCTCAAACAGCCTCTTCAACAGCGGGCTTACAAACCGTTCCTGAAGACGATATTATAACAAATGATGGTGATTCAACAATAGTTGATTTAGCTTCTGACGATCATGATGTACCAATGTCACCCATTTCAGCTAGTGAAGGCTGCCGTCAACGTTCTGATAGTTCAGTTAGTTCCTCAACTTATAATAATGATGTATCATTTCAAACTCATTCTCGTTCAAACTCTCAGTTTGCTTCTACATCAACTGATTATCCATATTCTTCATCTCCTCCACTAACGATAGAAAGTTTGAATGGAACTATATCTCCACGTAGTGAAAATAAGGTTAAAAAATTCTTTGGTGAAATAGTCCCTCATCCACATAAGCAAAAAGAAGATAAACCTTGGTTCCTTAATTATGATTTTGATCAATCAGAAATGATATTTAATATGGAAGGTTATGTCAAAGGAGGAACTCTTAATGCTCTTGTAGAAAGATTAACCATGCATGATATATTAGATTCAAATTTTATTGCTACATTTTTATTGACATATAGATCTTTTTGTACAACAGATGAATTCTTTGATAAGTTGGTTAAAAGGTTTATGATTAAATCACCTGATAATTTGACTCCTTATGAATTAGAAATTTGGCAAGAAAAGAAGCAAACACCTATTAGAATAAGAGTTTTTAATATCATGAAAACTTGGTTAGAATACTATTATATAGATGGTGAGGATTACCATTGCTTAGAAAGAATGAGCGAGTTCGCAAAAACAACGATGAACGAAAAAATGTCATTTGCTGCGAAGGGTTTAATGAAATTAATTGAGAAACGAAAATGTAAAGATGCTAAATTTAAGGAGTTGGTAATAACAAATTCCGACAGGCCACCGGCATCAATTTTACCCAAGAACATCAAGAAACTCAAATTCTCGGAATTAGATCCTTTGGAAATTGCTAGACAACTAACTATAATAGAAAGTAAATTGTATAACAAAATTTTACCTGTTGAGTGCCTAAATAAGGCTTGGAGTAAGGACGAAGGTGATGACGCAGCAGTAAACATTAAGGCCATGATTGTGAACAGTAATCAAGTAAGCCTTAGTCTTTTTTGGTGATTTGTCAGTCTAATGATCGAAAATTGTTTAAAATAAATTGATTAAAAAAATAATTATTAATTAGATAACGGGATGGGTAGCCGAATCAGTTTTAAATCAATCAGAGATTAAAAAAAGATGTTTATGTATTAAACAGTTTGTAGCTGTAGCTGATAAGTGTAAAACTTTGAATAATTTTAATTCGCTTACAGCTATTATTTCTGGATTAAATTCTGCGCCAATTCATCGTCTGAAGCGCACTTGGGAATTGGTAAATGCAAAAACTATACAGACACTCGACAGTCTTAATAAGATTATGAATTCTACAAAAAATTTTGCCGAATATCGAGAGTTACTACATAGCGCAAATCCACCGTGTGTACCATTTTTAGGTAAATAAAAGACTATCCTTTCTATAAAATTTTCTCTTTTAAATTTTATACTTTAAAAAAAAAAAATTTTTTTT